TGCTATTTGCTGATCTTTCCAGATTGAAGAGATGTTTGCAGGTAAGGTGAGCCATCTGGCTCTGTATTGCCACCTCAGCTATGGTTTCTATATCTTTCTGCCCATTGTCCAAACCCCAGTTATTTTTCTGCAGCTCTGCCTGTTTTAGTGGATTAGTCCGGGAATGTTTCTTGGTGGTTCGAGGCTCTCCACCAGTCTTTGCATCTGGACTTTTAAAGTTTGGTGTTCTGACTTTTGTTATGCTTTGCAGGTTATAAAAATTCACTATGGGAAAAGAAAGCCAGTGTATGATATACATTAGGCTGGTATCAAAGTTCTGCCTTTCCCCACAATTTTGAACTATTGACCCTCCCCAAGATGCAACACAGATTAGTCAATTTACTGCTAGGTTAAAAGAGGCATTAGATGAAAGGAAATGTACCCAACAATTTCTGTTACATTTGCAACAGTGAGGTTACTAGATGTTCGTTTCATCTTTTTCTGCCTCTTTGTAGCTTGTTTTGTTTCTGTTCCAGTGGTTTTGTAATTTTTGTCAATTAGTTTAATTTCACAAGTTGTCTCGTGTGTTCTTTCATCTCCGGCCTGCTAACCTTCCTGGTCTCTAGATCGCATCTTGGTTTTTCATTTGTCTTCATTCTTCTCTGTGGCCCCTTGAGCCTGGGGGTTTTGTTCTTGCTTTTGGGCCAGGTGGGCATTCTTTTATCTTTTGCAGTCTTCTTCTTTACTGGTTAGGAATGGGACAGCTGGCTTCTGGGTGTAAGCAAGAAAGGATCAATAGACGGTGCCAAGCCAGGAAGACTATGCAGCACCATGACTTCGTTTGATTTCTCGGACCTGTGTTGGGTAGGGTTACCCACCGTTCTTCTCTTTAGGGGTTTACTTCCTGCTGCTCTCCTCTGCCCCTGGTGAGCCCCATTTTTGTTCTCCACGGTGAGATAGCATCCAGGAAATTCAGGAGTCCTCCAAAAATCCAGCAATGAGTGTAATGAAGCACATTTTTTTTTTTTTTTTGTGGGCCCTTCTGTGGCTCCCTGTTCCAAACCTCAGTTCAGGGGCTTTGGTTTCAACCTTGAGTGGCACATTCCTATTAGGTTTCACCAGCTGGACCCCAAGCTGCCAAGGTTATCACCTGGTGGTGGGGGGTGTAACTAGTGGGTGAATAACCTACTGTGTTCATAGTTGTCAGGATTGCTATTTTGTCCTTTCAGTTGTGCATTTTGGAGCATTCCACTTGTGATATTTCCTCTTGATTCTAGGTTAAAGAAATTCCCCCAGACTCCATGGGACCCTTTTGAGTATTTCTGCAGTAGGTTTTTATGACTCGCAAGGGCCTGATGGGTCGTGACATGGCTAGTGTAGATGGGTCTTCTCTCTTGCCTACTGTGGCACTGTATAAGTGGAAATATGCACTGTATAGACTGCTTATTCTGCCAACCAGGTGTTGCCATGTATGGAGACATGTATTCCCAGTTTCCCTTTATATTGCAGTTGCATAAACCTTGTGGGTCCCAGGGGAAACACGCTTCTTCGGTGGAGGGATAGAGGTGAAATTAGAGGTTTAGTGAGGCCAGACTGAATCAACTAATCTAGTTAGCAGGTCAAGCCAAACTTGAGTCAAGCAGGCACTGTAGGGCCAGTAGCCTTACCTGGAGCATACTTGGAAAGGGTTCTGGAAGTTCTACTCCCTGAATGTGGCCTGGGGCCAGGTTCAACTTGTGATAACTTGGACCAACAAGCTGTTGCTTTGGAGCACCCTGCCGGCTGGGTGGTGGGCTGCTTTCGATAATTACTTTGAGCAGCCCGCAGGCCCACATATCCACTACACCCAGTTGGCCCAGCACTTATTGCAGAAACATATCCGATTGCTTGTTGAAGAAGTCCACCTTTGTTCCAACAATATTTCTAATGCTTTCTGAACAGCTGTGGATCTCTGATATTCAGTATTCTCTGATTGTGCCCATGACGCACTCTGCTCCTCACTGGTTCTATTCTACATTTTCTTCCATATCTTTCACTCCAATATGTCGTTATTCTACTGTTCAAATTTGGCCTTCCAGTACCTTCCATGTATGTATTATTTGATACCTCCCTCATCTCCTTTTCAGAGTACGTGCTACATAATCTCCCTGGCTTGGTGATTTCTTTTGATAATTACTGTACTTACTTTCAGAGATTACATTTTGAGAGCTTAAGAGACAGTCCCAATAATTTAGGTGTTTATCGTGTCTTATGTGTGCTGCATATGTTTTCCCTCTATTTCAGAGATCTCTCCAAATCTCAAAATCAAAATCTCAAAAAGGGGAAGTGAGTACCGAGCAATACTCAAGATGGGACAGCACCTGGGATTTAAATAGTATTAGCATTGCTGTGGGGGTCCCCTGGATATGAACATTCTCAAAATCCATCATATCATTATCCTGGCTGATGCTATATTTGCTTGGCTATGTTTACTGACCGTCAGGTCGTCAAATATAATTCCCAAATCTTTTACTTGTTTTCCTTCTATGCGTGGGTCTGACTGTCTTGCACCCTGTATTTTGTTTAAGTTTCTTGTTTCCACTATACCTAAGTAAGTGGAACTTGTCACTGTTAAACATCATGTTGTTTTCTGTTGCCCAATCAAAAATTTTATAATATTGGCTTGTAGTTTTTCAGTGTCTTTGACAGGAAATTTTCATGGTAATTTTTCTATCATCTGCAAAGGATGACACAAAGCTGTGACTAGTATTTTTGTCTGTATCTGATATAAGAATAAGAAAGAGCATTGGTGCATGGACTGTGCCCTGGGGTACAGAGCTTTTCACTGCACACAGACTTGTTTTTAAGTATTTGATTGTTACCCTTTGCATTTTTGGGACAAAATTAAGAATCCAATGCCCCCATTTTACCCGCTATTCCTATCGATCTTATTTTATGGGCTCTCACTCATAATCCCATATATCAAATGCCTTAGGAAAGTCTGTGTATACAACATCTGCATTTTATTTTTCTTCTAATGCTTTTGTCATAATGGTTGAGTAATTACGGAAGACTAATCCGCTCTAAATCGATGTTGACCTGGGTTATGTTTATTGTTTTAAATAAAAATGGAGAGTTGATACCAGATCATTCTTTTTTATTAACTTGTGTTATGAGCAATGTTAAAGTAACTGGCCTACAGGTTTTTACCAAAGCTCTGCTACCTCATGGAGCTATATCTGCTGATTTAAGTGCTTGTAGAATCTTCTGTATCCAAGTTTTTTCTCTATTCTATACTGACCACTAGTTCTACTGGTACTTTAAAAATTTGTCTCGCTCAAATTTAGGATTTTAGGATTTTACTAATTTCTTTGTCACAGCTGAAGGTTTGTATGCACATAAGTATAGATAGGTCCAATACTAGTGGAGGATTCTGATTTATCATATGTAAACAAATATTTTGGATTTTTCTTTATCTCTTGTATAGCTTTCCGTTTCATTTCCTCAGACTGGTATGATCACTTTAGTGTCTGCTCAATTTCTTCGATCTCCTTATTTAGATTTAGCTTTTTTAATTGTCCTGATTTTCAGGATTAGAGATTTTGCTTTCCAAATATCCCTTTGTTACTTGTCCCTCTATAAAATCCTTTCTGAATTGATATTTCTGACATCGCTCATCTAATGTCCTTTTGCTCTCATATTAGCATCTTGAAAGATATCTAGGTATTTGTTCTGTATCACCATAAAGGTTGCTAAATAATCTTCTAGGCTTATTGCTTTCTATTGACATTGGCCTCTACTGACTTCTATTGGCCTTGCTCACTCTTGAGGCCAGCATCTTTATGCTCTGCACTTATGCCCTGTACCCTCACTCTCACTTTAAATTATGGTTAGTTGACCTACGTGGGCCAAATATAACTGATCCTTGGCAACTCCAATATCGTGTCATTTGTCTTGTGTCGTCTTGGTCTTGTAATGACATTTAAGTGTTATTTAGAACCTTTTAACTATTCTGGAAGACGGTTCTGTTTAAAAATAATTATTCTGGCTTTTTGCTTTTTGATAATTATTGGTACCAATAATCACCTTGCCTCTAGCAATATTGATCTTCTGGTTATTCAAACCAAAGATATATGCATACTGTAATAGGAAAAAAAAGAGAGACTCCTGATGATGCTATTTTTTAATAATTAAAATTTATCCATGATGAAAGGAAATGAAGTACAATCACTGGAATAAATCTAATGGGAATAATGCTTCCAAACTATAGTAATTACTGAAGATAAAATATATCCTAATATAACCATTTAATCAACTAAAGAAAATAAATCTGTCTTTTCAATCATATCAAATTTTATGAAGGGGGAGGTGGAGAAAGGGGAGAGTGGTATGATAAGGAGAGAGATGTAGTAAGTGGGGGAGGGGAGGGGGTAAGGAGTGTTAAGAGCAGATGGAAGGGGATTAGTTGGAAGGAGCATGGAATGGGAAGAAAGAGAAATGGTTAAGAGAAAGAGGGAGAAGTGTAGTAGTAAGATGGGAGTAGAGGGAAGGAAAATGATGGTGATGGAAGAGTACTATAATGAGGCAGAAATGGTGAAGGTGGGAGCTTGACAGTTAAAAACTTAACTACAGATCTCACTAGTGATAATATATTGAGCCTAGCCATAAAAAGGTTTAAATCTTGAAAAGTCAAGAAACCGTAAAAAATAGTAATAAAATATTTACCATTTATATTAATTGATGATGATATACTTGATTAGTTTTATGTTTTTTAAGTATAATAATGCACTATTCAAACAGTCATTCCTCTACCATGCTGAATAACAAGTAATTATCAAAAGAAGGCACCTGCTGAATAACAAATGAAACCTTACTTTTATAATGCTGTATACTGATTTGTAACCAATAACATTCGCATGAAGCTGTAGGGTACCCCAAAGTTTGGCCACTACACACACCATAGTGAAGAGTAAGGGAGTGCCACTGCTGCACACCCCATACTCGACTTTGGTCAAGTCAACACGAGTTGTGTTGGGTGTTTGTTACCTACTGCCTAAGATAATACAAGGCTGTCCCAGAATCGGGCATCTTTCTATGACATCGAACTAATTTTTGTTTGCATTCATTAAACATTAATAAACACATGTTACAAATGCAAAATTTTTAAAAGTTAATCTTTTGTGTAGAAGCCTCACACTTGTAATGAATACACAAGAACACATCTTTGTGATGTCTCGTATCAAAGGATTGTACTACAATGAAATCAGAGAAAGATTTACAAAGAAATTTCACAGAATCAGTCCTACAAAGCAATTCATGAACTTGTGAACAAATTTAAAAACTGTTTTGCAAGGCTAAGGTTAGATTAAAAATATACATACTGTATATACAGCACATGTTCAAAGTTCCAGACAGCTTCTTTGGCTTCCTTAAAGACCAAGCAGAAGGAAGAGTAATAATTATTAGTTATATTATAATAATAATTGTTGTAATTACTAATTACTCTTCCTTCTGCTTGGTCTTGAAAGAAGCCAGCATCAGATGAAAGAGGGCTATGACTATCTCAGTCTGGAACCCGTAGGTGCGGGGCTCGGAAGTCCACCTCCTGGGGTTCGTGCGGCCCAAACTCTGCTTCGGGAGGCTAGAGTCATTCTTGCCCTTGCTGGGGTGGTCCTTCTCCGGCCCCAACCACGGTGATCTCCGGGTTTAGAGTCCCTGTGCCTTCTATTACCAACTTCGAAGATAACTCCGGAGCTGGAGCCTCTCGGGCAGTTCGCTTTTGCCTTCAACCTCGTTCTGACAGTTCCTGCGACAGCACTGGATCCAATCGTATTGGAGTTTGCCTTTCCAATGAAGACTTTCGGTGCTGTGGAGAAGGGGGGGACCTGCTGCTTGGGTAACAGCTTCTCCGTATCAACCTACCCTGGCTTTGCGCCCTGGAGAGGCCACTCCAGACCAACTACCAGAGCGCAACTCTATAGTCTCCTATGACTGATGGATGCCTACTACTACTACTACTGAAAGTTCTCAATAATGATTTGACTGAAAAGCAGATACTGTAGATTTATAAATCATATAAAAATTGGGTAAAAACCTGAAATTATGTAGGTTAATAGATTTGTCTATTTCACAGAAATGGCTAATTCTGAGGCACCTTGTATATTAATAAAAGTTAATTTACCACACAGCACTTTCCACACCATTGCCTTACAACTTCACTTGGCTAGGAGTACACACAATTAATCTTCGTAGCTTAACATAGCATTTCTTTGTGCAAATCTTGGGCGTGAATCCCTGACATTTTGTGGCCCGTGTTTTATTACTAACCATGCTAACAGACTGTCTTCTTCTCAAAACACAGCTTCTTTTTTTATCATCATCTTCATTCTTACAATATAATTCAGCTTCTTTGTTTTGCAAGGGGTATCTGTGCCTTTTCATTTTTGGATGTATACACTTCTCTAGGGCATTGCAATGCCTTATGGCCTCCAAAGGAACCGAGAGTTTTTGCCAATTTCCAGTCAGCTTTAGGAATGTTTTTGCATCACTGACCTTATCCACGATAGTAAGGTCTTCATTAATCCATATATATTTTCTTTGACTGTCATCTGGAAGACTTTGTGAATGCGTAACACCACCTTCGTGTTGCAACTCGTCAATATTGTTATTTAAGTTTTGAAGTAGACTTGGGTTTGGATTCCTGCTTAGCGTTTTAAAAGCGATGTCTTTCACAGTTCGTCTTTTTTTACGACGAATCTGGAATTAAATATTAAATGTCAATTAAAACAAAAATCTTGAAAAACAAAAAAAAAATCCTCAAAAGGAGGTACAATGTTCATAAATGTGTGTAAACAATGGAAAGTTCTTAATGATTAAAAAGAAAAAACACTGAATATAACAAAATGCATCTTTCTGGTAGGGTCTTTGTGGCTCCTCAAAACTAGCGTGCTGAGGTAACTCTTCTCAAATATGTCACATCAACCTTAGGAGTCCTGTATGGCCTCTACCAGGGACCAGAGCCAGAACTGGCACTCCCCTCTACCAGGGACCAGAGCCAGAACTGGCACTCCCCTCTACCAGGGACCAGAGCCATAACTGGCACTCCCCTCTACCAGGGACCAGAGCCAGAACTGGCACTCCCCTCTACCAGGGACCAGAGCCAGAACTGGCACTCCCCTCTACCAGGGACCAGAGCCAGAACTGGCACTCCCCTCTACCAGGGACCAGAGCCAGAACTGGCACTCCCCTCTACCAGGGACCAGAGCCAGAACTGGCACTCCCCTCTACCAGGGACCAGAGCCAGAACTGGCACTCCCCTCTACCAGGGACCACAGAGCCAGAACTGGCACTCCCCTCTACCAGGGACCACAGAGCCAGAACTGGCACCTTCCTCTACCAGGGACCAGAGCCAGAACTGACACTCCCCTCTACCAGAGGACCAGAACCAGAACTGGCACTCCCCTCTACCAGGGACCAGAGCCAGAACTGGCACTCCCCTCTACCAGGGACCAAAGCCAGAACTGGCACTCCCCTCTACCAGGAACCAACCAGTGCCAGAACTGGCACTCCCCTCTTACAGAGACACAGGGAGCAGAGGATTGTTACAATCACCTTCACCAAAAAAATCCAGAAAGCAAGCAAGCAAATACAGACAACTACAAAGTTCACAAACAAAAGCACTGAAAGCTCTCAACAATGCTTCGCTCAGAAGTTAGGTCGAACCCCGCTAGTTATGACTGGCCACAAACAGGTCTTTTGCCTTTTGAGCTCTGCCTCACCGGGAACTTCCTGTTTCCGCAGCACCATAACCTTAGTTCAGAGCTGAAAGACCACGACCCAATGCATCTTGTGGTGTGGGGGGAAGAGAAACCACCGAAGAATAAGCATTTCAGTACATCTAACACCGGTTTTTTGGAGGGACAGAACAATTACTCTCCTAAAGCTAAGTAACAGAGTAGAAGGAAAATACAAGACTTACCAGGAAGTAGTGAAAACAATACGGACAGAACAACAAGTTTTACCCAAAGTGCTTTGCATAATAGTGGCTTTATTAGTATGTGTAACTCCTTTCCCTACAATTGTACATTACCCCTTTGTTCTTTGTACAGGCATTCTTTTGAATAAAAATTTGAATATACTCAGAAAGATGAGACACCAGGATAAGAAACCTGACCCAGGGCAACAAACTCGACAAGGACCAGAGACACTGGCCAGGTAATAAGCTGCCAGGACCCTGTTAGACCTCCAAAACCCCTGATGTAAAATATCAGTCAATGACATTAGAAAACCCCTTACACAAAGCCTCAAACTCGCACTCATCATGAGCCAGAGGATAGACTGCAGGCAGGTTAGACTTAATGATACTGCACCCAATCTGGGATAAACATGCCTTTAAAGAGGGAACCAGGAAACTGGATAATCTGTGTGTCCACTGAAGCAGGAGGCATGCAGGTAATGACTAACTGCCGCAACTGAGAACAACCAGCCGGTGGCTGAGCGGACAGAACACTGCACTCGTGATCCTGTGATCCCGGGTTCGATCCTGGGCGCCGGCGAGAAACGACGGGCAGAGTTTCTTTCACCCTGATGCTCTGTTACCTAGCAGTAAATAGGTACCTGGGAGTCAGCTGTCACGGGCTGCTTCCTGGGGGGTGGAGGCCTAGTCTAGGACCGGGCCGCGGGGACACTAAAGCCCCGAAATCATCTCAAGATAACCAAGCCTGTCCTACACCCCCAGCACAAGCATCAACCAAAGGGTGCTTTCAGAAGCCAACCATCTCATTCATCTCAAGAAAAGGAGAAGGCTACAAAGAAACTGCTGAAAGAACACCTACACTTCTGGAGGAAAGCATAAATTTCCCTCACAAGACAACTGGAAACAACGGCCAATAAAAATAGAGCCCTGAGGAACACATCACGGAGCAAAGGGACAACAGAGAACCAAGGGTAGGAGATAAACACCGATACCCTATCAAGGAAACAAATACTGAATGCAAACAAGAGCAGTTTCTCCAAGACTGAATGAGAAAAGGTTGTAGTATTAGGCAGATGATCCCTAATCCTTCCAATCCACGTGTTAGTTTGCATGGGATCTGGTTGTTACCCAGCTTGTCAGGTTCAGGATCCTGATGAACTGGTGGGGTGTCCCAGTTGGTTCCGTTCCAGGTTTGGACTTGGGAGAGTTTTGTCTGGGGTTCATCTCTATCCCCGCGGCTCTGCTCTTTCTGCAGCATTGTTGTCTTTTAATGTTGGACAGGCCCCGGATGACTCTTTGGTTAGTCGAGCAGTTGAGCCAGAGCTATGCTTGCATGGTATTTCTCCTAGGCAGGGTTTGGCTGCTGTACTGGTTCCTCTTGTTGCACCCATTTCACCGCTGCCGAAACCATCTGGATCAGGTCCTACCCACCCCGACAACCCGATGGGGGGGGGGGGGCAGCTGAGTGAACAGTGCACGGGATTCATAGTCCTAAGGTTACGGGTTCAATCCCTGGTGGAGGCAGAAACAAATGGGCAGAGTTTCTTTCATCCTGATGCACCTGTTCACCTAGCAGTAAATAGGTACCTGGTAGTTAGACAGCTGCTATGGGTTGCTTCCTGGGGGTGTGTGTAACAAAAAGGAGGCCTGGTCGAGGACCGGGCCACGTGGACGCCAAGCCCCGAAATTATCTCAAGATAACCCTTTGTCGGTGCCTTTGTATCACCGGTTTTCTCTTCTGGCTTTTCAGGATTCAATTCCATGACCCCGTCCCACCCAGTCACTCGGTGTGTTCACAGACATCTTGGCTCCGGGTTGGGGGTTTGTGACCAGGCCTCCCAGGGTTGGTGGTTGGAGCCGTTCTATCAGGTGCACAGAATAGTCTGAGTTTGTGGCTGTGAGGCAGGCCTGCAGAGGATTCAGCTGCCTCCCAGCTTCATTTTAACTCCTCTATGGTGATTTATTTCCTGAAATGAGAAGGGTTCACTTTGGTCGTAACCCTTTGGAGTTGGACTTTGTGTGTAGCTTGGCTTCTGGATTCTCTGGGTTTATTTCTCCATGTGGATCATGTTCAGGGGTATGTCAAGTTATCGTGGACAGGTTATCTCACTTTCATCCCATTTCCACTGATTGGACCATCAACGTGTCACTCCAAGACCAGTGTGGAACTAGCATCTCCCCTCCTACATGGCTTTAACCCTTAAACTGTGCAACGCGCCTGCAGGCAGACGTCTGGGGTGAGCAACACGCCTCCGGGTGTTTTTATTTTTAGCGTTCCATTCAAAACTCCCGCGGCAACATGGGGTTCACATCAGCTTCCTCAGGGCTCTTGTAAACAGACGCCATCTTTAAAAAAAAATCGTGGGCCACATTCCCGGGTGTGAGAGCCTCAGTACTGAGTGAGGAACCAAGGCCGGTGCACACAGCATGAGCTCACAGCACTGCTGTTCAGCTTGTTACCACAGCATCGCCTAATAATGTCAATATATATATATATAACTTGTATTATTTAGCCATGATAGTATTACAGAAGAGCCAGAGTGTGATGATAACTGTGTACAATGTTCAGATATCAGTGATTCAATGCTGTTCACAATGTTCACAGCGCTAGCCACAGCACCACAGCATTATTTCGTCCATCTAGGATTCTTCAAACGACTTCCTAGGTTCCTTTACAAAATAAACGTGTGGTCAGTTATTCATTTACAGGATTTAGTGACCAGTATTGTGATACCTGTAACAGCAGGATTGTGGTGATAATTAGCACTGCATAGTATTCTGGGAGGAGGAATTGTGGTGAGGGAGCATGGGAGAGAATTGAGGTAGCCTCACTATGTGGCAGCCACAGCTCTTTGTTTTGCTCATCATACTAGCTTAGTGGTTCGCTATGGTGAACACATATGTACATGGGTACAGTATATACAATGTGTGTGTATATAGTGTAATAACAGCAACAGGAGTATGTTGGGAGGAACTATTTTGGTGAGGGAGGTGACGTCATAATCGTAGCGTCATCTGCTGTCTGCTGTGTGATTTCTCAGGCAGTGTATGGTGGCCACTGTAAAGTTTGGACACAATACCGGCTTACTTGCATAGTTCTGTTGAGTAAAACATGTAGAAAGGTATACGTAACATGTGTAAATAGTGTAATGAAAACAATAACGGTATGGTGGGAGGAGCAATGTTGGCGAGTATTATGTTGGAGGAGTGAGGGAGACTGGCTGGTGTGGCAGCTGACACTCGCCGAGTTCTGAGTGTGTTGATGGTGAATGTATATAGTGTGTGACAGTGCATAGTGTGTAAATAGATTGTATATAACATAAATTAGCATGGTGCATGGGAAATATGTACAACATATGTGTACACGTCATGCACGTAACACTGTCTTCAGACAGTACGAATGTTTTACTGCCATAATTTAGTGTACGTGTTCATTATACATAGGATTAGCAAGAAAAACAAATAAAATGTATTTGGAACTGTGCACAAAAAATGAACAAAAATATATTCGTGGCAATTAGCGCGTGCTAGTGGCCCGGGGGGCATACGCCATGGGTAACTAGGGATTAATGACGTCACGTGCGAACTTACGGACCCCATAGCAGCCAAAGTACAATTTCGACTTTTTGTTAACACATCCATACTCAGGGAAGGGTTTTCGACACTTAAAAACTATTTTTTCCAGAGAATTTATTTCCTGCGCACTAGGGGGGGGGGGGTTATATTTGGAAGCCGAGCAGTTGAGGGGTTAAGGAGCCACACAAGAGAAACCAACACTGGCTCAGCCTTGGTTTCTGGCTCTTCTAGTCCAGTGTCTGAACTCAGGAGTTTTTCCTTCTTAGCCTCTAATCAGCAGATCGGCCAGGCAACGTACCTTGCTGGTTCAACCTTTTCTTCTTCCTATGCATCTGGAGTTTCTGATGCAGGTTTATTGCCATTTGTATGATTAGTAGATGGCTGGGTTATTTTTTATCTCACCTGTGCGTGTGTTCTTGCTGTAGAAGTATTACATTATTTAGTGCTCGTTTTGCCTCTTTCTGTCCCTTTCTTTGCCACTGTTCTTCAGTGTCCATTTAGGTGATCCTGTCCTTGGCATGGTTGTTTTTAGATCAGCATCTTATGCTTAATACTATCATTTTTTGTCATTTGGCAAAGCAGCTATTGCTTGCATTCAGTATCAATATGGTTTTGGAGCTATTCCACAAGTTGTCTCAGGAGCTCTTTAACCTTCAACCAGCTAGGTTGAAGGTTAAAGCTCAGCTGTCCTTTCCCATTTTCTTTCTTTCCCTTTCTCTTCCTGAGCTGTCTTGGTCTTGACAGGGTTTTTGGCATTTCTTTCCTTTCCTTGGTTCATGGCTGTCCCTTTGGCCAAGAATGTTTTTCTCAAAGCATTGTTTCTGTTGGCTCTCACATCCAGCTGCATAGTTGAGGAGCTTCCTGCTCTTCTCCGGTGGCATGGGCTCTGTTCTTTCAGATCTGTTGGGGAGTTTATTTGTCCGCAGCCACATTCATTTCCGGAAAAAATTATTGGTTTCTGTAGGTCCTTTGGTGATTGATGCTTGATTGGCCTGCTCATGGAAGGGGGGTGAGGGGCGCTTTTATTGTGTCTGGTGGTGGCACTTCATTGCTACCTGCATGCCATCAGATCTGCCTAAATAGATGCCTTGTTGGTCGATACTGTTTCCTTGGTCCCCTGTTCCAAGACTTGTATTTCTCAGATTGTTCAGTGTCATCAAATCTAGCTAAGACAGTACTCCAGTGCTCCTGACAAGCAGTCGGGTTCCTTGTCCCCATCAAGGCCACTAGGGATGAGCCATGGATAGCCGTGCCTTGTGAGTAATTTGTCTAGGTTTGAGTCCTGGCCAGAGAGGACTGTATGGACATCAATCCTTAACTGTTCGCCCTTATTTGTGCACCCGTAATTGGGTACCCGATAACCGACTGATGGGTCATGTTCCAGGGGAAAACTAGTAGGTAAGGCTTACCATGAGCTATGGTAAGGGAAAGCTCTCAGCCTACTAACAGGAATCAGAAGCCATCTGTTCCTGTATTTGCCCATGTAAAAAGAAAAGAATCCGAGATCTGAGATGAAGTGGAAAAAATGGAACCAGTTGCCTGAACTGATATGAAAGTATCTAATGTACTAACTCTTATCCCATAAAAGGATGTTCAGAACCAAAAGTGAGGATAATGTACTGTACATTAAAAGAAAAGAAATTAATCTTGTGTACCTGAATTCTCCCATGACAATAAAATACATTTAATTGGGAGACAAATATTGTTAATGTCATTACCTTCCGGGGGATGGGTGCAATTGTCAGGTCTGGTAAGCTGTCACTATCAGAGTCCATCACACTAACAAAGTCCTCCTCTTCTTCCTCCTGTCCAGTTTCACTGTTAATGTTCAAATTCTGGTTCTGTGGAGCTGAAAGAAGTGAATTATTAATATATTAAAACAAGTTTTTCCCTTAAGAGATACAGTTTAAGTAAAAGTACTGTATTGGCATGCCTCTATTTAAATCTGTATGGATTTCGGGAAATTGGTTGTAAATCTAAGCAAATCAAATTTTTCCATAGGCCACCTACAAAACCAACATATATCACTAATTTTGTTAGTATTGCACGTTTACTATTAAAACACAACATCAATTAGGTTTGAGCCTATTTTTAGGCAGAGTTCTCTTAAACAATTTTAGAACATAACCACTGCACTGCGCAGTGCACCTTGAGGCTCTGGACGGGTGGTGCACAACGTGCCTTGAGGCTCTCTTTGGGTGGTGCACAACGTGCCTTGAGGCTCTCTTTGGGTGGTGCTCAACGTGCCTTGAGGCTCTCTTTGGGTGGTGCACAACGTGCCTTGAGGCTCTCTTTGGGTGGTGCACAACATGCCTTGAGGCTCTCGACAGGTGGTGCACAACGTGCCTCGAGGCTCTCTTTGGGTGGTGCACAACGTGCCTTGAGGCTCTCGACAGGTGGTGCACAACGTGCCTTGAGGCTCTCTTTGGGTGGTGCACAACATGCCTTGAGGCTCTCGACAGGTGGTGCACAACGTGCCTCGAGGCTCTCTTTGGGTGGTGCACAACGTGCCTTGAGGCTCTCGACAGGTGGTGCACAACGTGCCTTGAGGCTCTCGACAGGTGGTGCACAACGTGCCTTGAGGCTCTCTTTGGGTGGTGCACAACGTGCCTTGAGGCTCTCGACAGGTGGTGCACAACGTGCCTCGAGGCTCTCTTTGGGTGGTGCACAACGTGCCTTGAGGCTCTCGACAGGTGGTGCACAACGTGCCTTGAGGCTCTCGACAGGTGGTGCACAACGTGCCTTGAGGCTCTCTTTGGGTGGTGCACAACGTGCCTTGAGGCTCTCGACATGCGCAACGTGCCTCAGGGATCTCATAGGTATAGCGTATCATTCATAACTCCTTTTGCTACATGGGGCTCACATCACCTTCCTCAGGGCTCTCCTAAACAGATGCCATTTTTTTTTTAAATCATGGGAAACATTCCCAGGTGTGAAGGCCTCAGTACTGAGTGAGTAACCAAGGCTGACACACGCAGCATGAGCTCACAACACTGCTGTTCAGCTTGTGACCACAGCATTGGTCATGAAAAAAATGTCCGAATATATATGTATCTGGTATTACTTAGCCATGATAGTATTACAGAAGAGTGACCGTGATAAAGACTGTGTACAATGTTCAGATATCAGCGAATAAATGTTGTTCAAGATGTTCTCAGCGCTAGCCACAGCACACTGCCATTATTTCGTCCATCTAAAATTCTTCAAACGACTTCATGTTTCATTACAAAATAAACATGTGGAAAATTCTTCATTTACATGATTTAGTGACCAGGATTCTGATAACAGCAGGATTGTGGTGAGAATTAGCGATGTGGGAGGAGTATTGTTGGTGAGGAAGAGAGGGAGATAGCGTTTTCTGCTGGCCGGTGTGTGCCAACATGTTATTGTCTGGAATCACGATACCAGCTTAGTGGTTCGCTATGGTGAACACAAATATAGATACTGTACTTATATACTGTACAGTATATGTGTGTATAGAGTGTAATAAAAGCAAAAGGAGTTTGTTGGGAGGAGCTATTTTGGTGACATATTTCTGTTATTACACAATATGTACATATAGTGTAATAACAGCAAAATCACTGATTGATCATAGAATATAATATACATGTCACACATATATGAGCCCCATAACTTTCAGCATTGTGATGTTCCACACATTGAACTACAGTATATAAATTCCACAAATTACACACTTTTGAATATTACAGAAAAAAAAAAAAATGAACGAGAAACTTCAAAATAATTGTGAAACATTATATTCGTGGCAACTGCCGCCCCACGGGGTGGCGTGGCCTGCTTGATGGGGTTCTGGGAGTTGTTCTACTCCCCAAGCCTGGCCTGACTAGTGACCTTGAGCGCTCCATCGCTCAACGGCCATAATTTGCTCAACTTCCCAGCTCCATCGCGGCTAAAGCATGCCACATACAATATTTTTTTTTGTTTAGTTCCCTGTGATCGGAGACTGCATTTTAACAATATAAGATAAAATAATTTTTTGGAAAAATTTACTTCCTGCAACCATGGTTTTGTCATATTTTAATGCAGAGCAATGCAGTGGATAAGAAATGAAAAACATCGGAAAGATGTAACTTGTAGATACAAAGTAAAGTTGCAAACGATAAGAGAAGTTCAGTAGTAGTTCACACTAGCATGATAAAGGAACACAAAAGTTTTGCTTTCATTTATCCCATATTTTCCAGGAAAGCTGTGTTATGAGTGGCATTAACAAAAACAGCAGTGAATGTAATGAAATGCCTTTTTTTTATGAACTTCCTCTGTATCTCCCTGAGCTAGCCACCTGGAGTCCTCCAAACTCAAGATATTGTACCACACCAAGCTTCAGTGAATTCCTAACACCTACCACAAACCAGTACCAAAATTGGACAGATGGGGGTATTATAAACCCCCTAATCTCTCCCTGATGGAGAGATGAAATACCCATTTTTGTGGGTATTAGAAACTATCACAGTAACCAATGGGTAAAGGCCACCAGAAAGGCAGTGCGTGATCAAACAAGCAACTGCTTGCATAACAATTCCAGAGGAAATCTACTAGCAAGAGGCATCTCATCATTTACAGTGTGGGATTCTTGGGGAAGCTCCCCTTTGTATCACCCCAAGAGATACAAAAGTGGGGGTGGGGTGAGAAAAAAAGATAGAGAGAAAGGAAGGGGGGACCGGCAAATGGGTGGCAAAACCATAGAGTTCACAGATGAAATTGACATCTTGGGAATGAGGTTCGACTTTTTTTTTTTTTTTTTTTTTTTTGAGATATATACAAGAGTTGTTACATTCTTGTACAGCCACTAGTACGCGTAGCGTTTCGGGCAGGTCCCTAGAATACGATCCCCTGCCGCGAAGAATCGTTTTTTCATCCAAGTACACATTTTACTGTTGTGTTAAACAGAGGCTACAGTTAAGGAATTGCGCCCAGTAAATCCTCCCCGGCCAGGATACGAACCCATGACATAGCGCTCGCGGAACGCCAGGCGAGTGTCTTACCACTACACCACGGAGACTGTAAAATGTTCAATGTTCAATGACTGTTCAATGACAATGATATTCATTGCTCAATGGAGAGCAATGTGCTCCTAGCTCAAAAGTCAGCCAGGAAACTTACAGCCCTACAATGCATCTCACCTTCTTGACAGCAGGGGATGCAAAACCATATATGTAGTACAAGTTCACTCTCATCTAGCGTATGCACCCCTTTCCTGGATTGCCTGCCCCTCATCATTCATCAGACTGTAGGACAAAGTGGAGAGACGGGTAAGAAGGCTTACCTCTAGTCTTGACCAAGTCTGGTGGGAACAGTCTGAACATCAGGGCCTGCAACACTGTCATGACGTTGGTGGTCTTACTGTCAAGTACAAGGCCAACATCCTCGAAGTTCTTCATCTGGCCCAACTGTGTGGAGTATCAGTAGTTGCCACCCATAGCACTAGGCTCTCAACCATCAACAGTCTTATGCTGCCTTCCTCAAGAACATCACTCCATCAGCGATCATTCACTCCTAGGCTGACTCACACCTGGAACTTGTTCGCACATCTGCTTGATACCTGCTTGATGGGGTTCTGGGAGTTCTTCTACTCCCCAAGCCCGGCCCGAGGCCAGGCTTGACTTGTGAGTATCAACATCAGGTTGATACAGGGAAGATCAGGTCAACTGATCACATGAAAGCTCTGACACACAGTTGGCTACAGGCTCATCCTGTTCCTTATATGATTGTTGCATAATGTTGTTAACATTAAAGACTATTCCTACTGATGCATATAACAGGCTCATGAAATAAATGGGCCTCTATGAGCTGAGGTAGGATAACAGCTCTTGCTTGCAGTTTCACTAGGCATGTCATTTGACAGCTCTTGTGAACCCCCTAGTCTTAATTTTTTTTTTTAATTTGCCCCGAGGGGTGAGTTGGGCAATTGGACAGCGCCACTCGTTCTGTGAGTGGTCGGGCTTCTAGTGTTGATAGTTCTCTCTATTACACCTCTGGTTTTCAATGGGCCTGCCATGCCTTCTGGTCTCATGTGGTGTCATTTCTGTGTGCAGATTTGGAACCAGCCCGTCTAATATTTTCCATTTGTAAATTATTGTGTGTATCACCCACCTATGTTCTAGAGAATACAGATAGACCCGGGTACAGTCGGGTACCTCATCTTGTTTTGCTGTAATTACTAATAGTGTTATAAAATACATATATTGTATACACTGTAGGCCTACTTACTTTGGGTACCCTCCAGCACATCTTTACAATCTATTTTTCTAATGGGAATAACCACCATATGCTGCAGGATCTCTTGGTCGCTGAACACACACGTGGCTCTGTGCTGCTGTAGTGGTGATACAGCACTGCCTGTGGAGCCAAGAGCCAACTTTGAATCTGTATAGAACAAATGAAGTGCCTAAAACACACATTAATCCTTAAAACACAGTCATCTTCATTTGCTGATTTTCTGAGCCACTGAATTCATTATACAATCCTTGTATAAGAGTTCCAATAGTGTCAAATTTGTATACTAATGATGTTAATATGGCTATAATAGAGTTCGAGTACAGTACATGCATTACATGCATGTACATAACATAAGAACTGCCAACATAAGAACTGCCTTCAGAAACTTGTGTAAGGAATCTTTCAGAACCCTGTATACCACTTATGTAAGACCAATCCTGGAGTATGCAGCTCCAGCCTGGAGTCCATACCTAGTTAAACACAAGACAAAGTTAGAGAAGATTCAGCGGTATGCCACCAGGCTCGTCCCGAAACTGAGAGGATTGAGCTACGAGGAAAGGCTAAAGGAGCTGAACCTCACATCCCTGGAAAACAGAAGAGTAAGGGGAGACATGATAACCACCTACAAAATTCTCAGGGGAATTGACAGGGTGGACAAAGACAAACTCTTCAGCACGGGTGGGACACGAACAAGGGGACACAGGTGGAAACTTAGCACCCAGATGAGCCACAGAGACGTTAGAAAGAATTTTTTCAGTGTCAGAGTAGTTAATAAATGGAATGCACTAGGAAGTGATGTGGTGGAGGCTGACTCCATACACAGTTTCAAATGTAGGTATGATAGAGCCCAGTAGGCTCAGGAATCTGTACACCAGTTGATTGACAGTTGAGAGGCGGGACCAAAGAGCCAAAGCTCAACCCCCGCAAGCACAATTAGGTGAGTACAATTAGGTGAGTACATGGATGTAATGGCAGCCACGCAGCCACCACCAGCAGCGCACATAAAATCCTGCTCTTGTTTTTAAGATGGCTTACTGTGCAAATGTGGTTGTCATTTGACTTGTTACATAGTTTGTATATCAATGATGTCCAAATGATTTCCACATCTTTATCTGGGTGCAATATAGTTGACCAGGACCAATATAAAAATCCTTCTTCTGGTTCGTAATAATATCCTATGGGAATACTTTTTTTTTTGTCATTTGACAATGTTTGCAATTGTAATAAGGTTAGCATATCAATGATGCCTCCCCCAATGGTTTTTAAGAGTTCCATATGGGTGTAATGGAGTTGACCAGCACCAACCAATTATCATGTTTTAAATGTACTTGGGGCCTGGGGTCATTGGCACGTTATGTTCTGGTCTTTATCACCAATGTTTGCATCCATACGATGCCATAAGTCTCTCTAAATGACATGGCATCACCCAGGACCCATGTGCTTGCATCACCACTCTCAGTATTCACAAGGTTGCTATTGCACAGGCACGTATCTCCAACTCCAAGGTTCATCCCACAAAGAATCGGCAGAAAATATTGAGTCCATGGAAAAAACTGAAGTGGTTCTAGTAGTAGTAGTGATAATGATGACGACGATGATGATGTGACACTATCTTGGTAACTGGGAAGTGATAGTCACTGTGGCTATAACAGGAGAGTTCAGTTGGAACAAAAGTGAGGGAGGCAAAGTAAATGCCGATTAGGATTTACATGTATAGGGTTTAAAGGTACGCTCCATGCCTCGAGAATAGACAGAAGGTGCCTTGGTCTGGGAAGATGGAGGCAGCTTTGGAAAAAGTTGGAAAAGTGGAGGCACTGCTGTGCTGGTAAAAAAAAAAAAAACTAAAGGTAAAGGAATTAATAATCAACAACCCACAAGAAATTGACATACTGTAATGGCACTGCTCATTTGGAATCAGGATGATAAACTGGAAAATCACAAATACCAACAGCCCACCAGCAACACATGAACAAAGGAGGAGGAGCTGGATGACAAACAAGAGGGCCTCAATGTTCATGAGAGAGAGATTATAGAAAGATCAGAAAACAGAAAATTCACAACTGATGATGCGCTATGATTCCATCATCGCAATTATTTAATATTGTAATTGATACAGATAGCTATGATAGCATCATAGAAGATCCTGACTGCAATAATGACTATATACAATGTTAAGATATCAGTGAACACTGTGCTGTTTATGTTCACAAGTGTGACAAACAGCCACAGTACTCTTGCCATTGTTCGGTACATCTTCCCATCATGAAACAACCTCATGTTCCTTTAGAAAATAAGCTTGAGCAAAATGATTCATATTCATGATTTAGTCACCAGAATGCTGATAATACCAACATTGTGCCCGGAAATAAAGTTTAATATAATGGAAACACACTTCACATGACTGAGTCGAAAGTGTCACTGTCATGTATGTGTCACGTACATGATGGGACAGTATGATGAGTCGGGTATGAACGAATGTTCGTCGTCTGTGCCTTGTGGCACAGACGACGAACAACCCTCATCTCGTAAAAAGCGAGAGCGGGGACTATGTACCCGGTGGGAGAGCCTGATGGACCAAACTCTCACAAGTCAAGCCTGGCCTCAGGCCGGGCTAAGGGGAGTAGAAGAACTCCCAAAACCCCATCAAGCAGATATCAAGCAGGGTTCTGGGGCACCCCCAGAGGCCCGCTAACCTGTGTGTGGGACTACCAGGCCCTGAAGGGTACAATTCAAACAGGACACCCAGGCACTGGAACACTACACCAATACTCTTAAAAGTGCTATGTAAATTAACCCAGCCTACCTGAGGCGGCTAGGAAAGCCTACCGTGGTGCCAAGATGCTCCCCACCATGGGGAAAAGACAGAAGGTGAGGGCCACCACAAGCGAGGAGGACCTCTAAGGGAATGTCACCTGAACACTCCAGAGTAAGATGATCCTGGCAGCACTAGAGCAGTACAGTACTAGAGAGTGTACAGGGAAGAAAACCCTGAGCACATGCAGCTCCAAGTGCTATAAACTCAGTGATTTTACACAGGTAAAATCATGTAAACTTCTCAACCACAAACAAGGGTTACAGGTCAACAAGTTGGCCCCATCATATCAGGTCAAAATTAATTAATTCCTTTGTGAAATCTGCCCATGGAGCACATGCAATATAAGGCTGTCACGCTAGACATGCTGTCAGCTTACACAAGCTGTCAGGCTAGACAACCTGTCAGCTTACACAAGCTGTCAACCTAGACAAGCTGTCAGCTTACACAAGCTGTCAGCCTAGACAAGCTGTCAGCTTACACAGGCTGTCAGGCTAGACAAGCTGTCAGCTTACACAGGCTGTCAGGCTAGACAAGCTGTCAGCTTACACAAGCTGTCAGCCTAGACAAGCTGTCAGCTTACACAAGCTGTCAGCCTAGACAAGCTGTCAGCTTACACAAGCTGTCAGGCTAGACAAGCTGTCAGCTTACACAGGCTGTCAGGCTAGACAAGCTGTCAGCTTACACAAGCTGTCAGCCTAGACAAGCTGTCAGCTTACACAGGCTGTCAGGCTAGACAAGCTGTCAGCTTACACAAGCTGTCAGGCTAGACAAGCTGTCAGCTTACACAAGTTGTCAGGCTAGACAAGCTGTCAGCTTACACAAGCTGTCAGCCTAGACAAGCTGTCAGCTTACACAGGCTGTCAGGCTAGACAAGCTGTCAGCCTAGACAAGCTGTCAGCTTACACAGGCTGTCAGGCTAGACAAGCTGTCAGCTTACACAAGCTGTCAGGCTAGACAAGCTGTCAGCTTACACAAGCTGTCAGCCTAGACAAGCTGTCAGCTTACACAGGCTGTCAGGCTAGACAAGCTGTCAGGCTAGACAAGCTGTCAGCCTAGACAAGCTGTCAGCTTACACAGGCTGTCAGGCTAGACAAGCTGTCAGCTTACAAAGGCTGTCAGGCTAGACAAGCTGTCAGCTTACACAGGCTGTCAGGCTAGACAAGCTGTCAGCTTACACAAGCTGTCAGCCTAGACAAGCTGTCAGCTTACACAGGCTGTCAGGCTAGACAAGCTGTCAGGCTAGACAAGCTGTCAGCTTACACAAGCTGTCAGCCTAGACAAGCTGTCAGCTTACACAAGCTGTCAGCTTACACAAGCTGTCAGGCTAGACAAGCTGTCAGCTTACACAAGCTGTCAGCCTAGACAAGCTGACAGCTTACACAAGCTGTCAGCTTACACAAGCTGTCAGCTTACACAAGCTGTCAGCCTAGACAAGCTGTCAGCTTACACAAGCTGTCAGCCTAGACAAGCTGTCAGGCTAGACAAGCTGTCAGCTTACACAAGCTGTCAGCCTAGACAAGCTGTCAGCTTACACAAGCTGTCAGCTTACACAAGCTGTCAGGCTAGACAAGCTGTCAGCTTACACAAGCTGTCAGGCTAGACAAGCTGTCAGCTTACACAGGCTGTCAGCCTAGACAAGCTGTCAGCTTACACAAGCTGTCAGCCTAGACAAGCTGTCAGCTTACACAGGCTGTCAGGCTAGACAAGCTGTCAGCTTACACTAGCTGTCAGCCTAGACAAGCTGTCAGCTTACACAAGCTGTCAGCTTACACAAGCTGTCAGGCTAGACAAGCTGTCAGCTTACACAAGCTGTCAGGCTAGACAAGCTGTCAGCCTAGACAAGCTGTCAGCTTACACAAGCTGTCAGCTTAGACAAGCTGTCAGCTTACACAGGCTGTCAGGCTAGACAAGCTGTCAGCTTACACAAGCTGTCAGGCTAGACAAGCTGTCAGCCTAGACAAGCTGTCAGCTTACACAAGCTGTCAGCGTAGACAAGCTGTCAGCTTACACAGGCTATCAGGCTAGACAAGCTGTCAGCTTACACAAGCTGTCAGCCTAGACAAGCTGTCAGCTTACACAAGCTGTCAGGCTAGACAAGCTGTCAGCTTACACAAGCTGTCAGCTTACACAAGCTGTCAGCCTAGACAAGCTGTCAGCTTACACAAGCTGTCAGCTTACACAAGCTGTCAGGCTAGACAAGCTGTCAGCTTACACAAGCTGTCAGGCTAGACAAGCTGTCAGCCTAGACAAACTGTCAGCTTACACAAGCTGTCAGGCTAGACAACCTGTCAGCTTACACAAGCTGTCAGGCTAGACAACCTGTCAGCTTACACAAGCTGTCAGGCTAGACAAGCTGTCAGCTTACACAAGCTGTCAGCTTACACAAGCTGTCAGGCTAGACAAGCTGTCAGCCTAGACAAGCTGTCAGCTTACACAAGCTGTCAGGCTAGACAAGCTGTCAGCCTAGACAAGCTGTCAGCTTACACAGGCTGTCAGGCTAGACAAGCTGTCAGCTTACACAAGCTGTCAGGCTAGACAAGCTGTCAGCTTACACAAGCTGTCAGCCTAGACAAGCTGTCAGCTTACACAAGCTGTCAGGCTAGACAAGCTGTCAGCCTAGACAAGCTGTCAGCTTACACAAGCTGTCAGGCTAGACAACCTGTCAGCTTACACAAGCTGTCAGGCTAGACAACCTGTCAGCTTACACAAGCTGTCAGCTTACACAGGCTGTCAGGCTAGACAAGCTGTCAGCTTACACAGGCTGTCAGGCTAGACAAGCTGTCAGCTTACACAAGCTGTCAGGCTAGACAAGCTGTCAGCCTAGACAAGCTGTCAGCTTACACAGGCTGTCAGGCTTGACAACCTGTCAGCTTACACAAGCTGTCAGGCTAGACAAGCTGTCAGCTTACACAAGCTGTCAGGCTAGACAAGCTGTCAGCTTACACAAGCTGTCAGGCTAGACAAGCTGTCAGCTTACACAAGCTGTCAGGCTAGACAAGCTGTCAGCTTACACAAGCTGTCAGCCTAGACAAGCTGTCAGCTTACACAAGCTGTCAGCCTAGACAACCTGTCAGCTTACACAAGCTGTCAGGCTAGACAACCTGTCAGCTTACACAAGCTGTCAGGCTAGACAACCTGTCAGCTTACACAAGCTGTCAGCTTACACAAGCTGTCAGCTTACACAAGCTGTCAGGCTAGACAAGCTGTCAGCCTAGACAAGCTGTCAGCTTACACAAGCTGTCAGGCTAGACAACCTGTCAGCTTACACAAGCTGTCAGCCTAGACAACCTGTCAGCTTACACAAGCTGTCAGGCTAGACAAGCTGTCAGCTTACACAAGCTGTCAGGCTAGACAAGCTGTCAGCTTACACAAGCTGTCAGCTTACACAAGCTGTCAGGCTAGACAAGCTGTCAGCCTAGACAAGCTGTCAGCTTACACAAGCTGTCAGCTTAGACAAGCTGTCAGCTTACACAGGCTGTCAGGCTAGACAAGCTGTCAGCTTACACAAGCTGTCAGGCTAGACAAGCTGTCAGCCTAGACAAGCTGTCAGCTTACACAAGCTGTCAGCCTAGACAAGCTGTCAGCTTACACAGGCTGTCAGGCTAGACAAGCTGTCAGCTTACACAAGCTGTCAGCCTAGACAAGCTGTCAGCTTACACAAGCTGTCAGGCTAGACAAGCTGTCAGCTTACACAAGCTGTCAGCCTAGACAAGCTGTCAGCTTACACAAGCTGTCAGCTTACACAAGCTGTCAGGCTAGACAAGCTGTCAGCTTACACAAGCTGTCAGCTTACACAAGCTGTCAGCCTAGACAAGCTGTCAGCCTAGACAAGCTGTCAGCTTACACAAGCTGTCAGGCAAGACAACCTGTCAGCTTACACAAGCTGTCAGGCTAGACAAGCTGTCAGCTTACACAAGCTGTCAGCTTACACAAGCTGTCAGGCTAGACAAGCTGTCAGCCTAGACAAGCTGTCAGCTTACACAAGCTGTCAGCTTACACAAGCTGTCAGGCTAGACAAGCTGTCAGCCTAGACAAGCTGTCAGCTTACACAGGCTGTCAGGCTAGACAAGCTGTCAGGCTAGACAAGCTGTCAGCCTAGACAAGCTGTGAGCTTACACAAGCTGTCAGGCTAGACAAGCTGTCAGCCTAGACAAGCTGTCAGCTTACACAAGCTGTCAGGCTAGACAACCTGTCAGCTTACACAAGCTGTCAGGCTAGACAACCTGTCAGCTTACACAAGCTGTCAGCTTACACAGGCTGTCAGGCTAGACAAGCTGTCAGCTTACACAGGCTGTCAGGCTAGACAACCTGTCAGCTTACACAAGCTGTCAGGCTAGACAACCTGTCAGCTTACACAAGCTGTCAGGCTAGACAAGCTGTCAGCTTACACAAGCTGTCAGGCTAGACAAGCTGTCAGCTTACACACGCTGTCAGGCTAGACAAGCTGTCAGCTTACACAAGCTGTCAGGCTAGACAAGCTGTCAGCTTACACAAGCTGTCAGGCTAGACAAGCTGTCAGCTTACACAAGCTGTCAGCCTAGACAAACTGTCAGCTTACACAAGCTGTCAGGCTAGACAACCTGTCAGCTTACACAAGCTGTCAGGCTAGACAACCTGTCAGCTTACACAAGCTGTCAGGCTAGACAAGCTGTCAGCTTACACAAGCTGTCAGGCTAGACAAGCTGTCAGCCTAGACAAGCTGTCAGCTTACACAAGCTGTCAGGCTAGACAACCTGTCAGCTTACACAAGCTGTCAGGCTAGACAACCTGTCAGCTTACACAAGCTGTCAGCTTACACAAGCTGTCAGGCTAGACAACCTGTCAGCTTACACAGGCTGTCAGGCTAGACAATCTGTCAGGCTAGACAAACTGGTAGGCTAGACAACCTGTCAGCTAACACAAGCTCCAATAAACTGCTCCAATAAACTCGCCCCTCGGGGCAAAATTTAATGTAAATTTAAAGCCACTGCCGTGCCAGCTCCGACCTTGCCACTATCCACCCCCTCATCCGTCCCGGCTAGGGTTAACGTGTGCTCGTCCTATTATCTCCTGGCTCACTGTGGACTTGTAAGGCCGCCACTCTCAGTACTGTAACTACCCCCGCACTCCCTACATGAAGACGCCCACACACACCCACTCCAGACTCCTCCCACACACACCCACCCACTCCTGACTCCTCCCACACACCCACACCAGACTCCCCCCCCACACCCTCCCACTCCAGACTCCCCCCCCCACACACCCACCCTCTCCAGACTCCCCCCCACACACCCACCAACTCCAGACTCCCCCCCACACCCACCTACTCCAGACTCCCCCTCACACCCACCCACTCCAGACTCCCCCCCC